ATCAGAATCATAAACTGAAATTCTGGGCCTACCTATGATAACAGTCTTCTACTGTTTGCCGGTTGCAAGATGGGGAGGAAAATCAAAAGAAAACAGAGGATGACTTGCCTGGCATTTATGATTTTGGTGAGAACCAAAATGCACTCCAAGTTTTCATGAAAAATGCTAAAAACTATAATACAGACTCACTCTGTATTTAAGCCTCTCTGCTCAACCTCCCGTATCTATTCCCCTCTGGATGTAGGATGGGCTTCGCTCACCAACTCCAGTGACTGCTGGAGCCAGACCTTAGTGACTGGCTGCCCTTGTCCAACCTTTTCATTCCAGAGATGAGAAAATGACACCTGATGCCAGCCCAAGGTCCCCAAGGTCCCCAACTGCCCAGTGGCAGACCCGAGACTGCAAACTGGGTCCTATACTCTTCCTGCCACAGCCTGCTTTTGGAGAGACTGACCAAAGCAAGTTGTTTCTGTGGAACCTGCATACATCCTGTCTTAGTGTCTATTACCGAAGCCACTTAGACGTTAGGGATGACAGGAGTCCTCACCACTAAGGCCAGAAACCTCAAATGCATTAGGACTCACCAGAGGCTACCAGAGAATTGCTGCACTGAAAAGTTTTGAGGGCAGGGGATGAGGTCATAGAGTTTTATTTGTATAGTATGGACATTGCTTGCATATAGGTCATGTTTTTATTTTGGGACCTAGGGGACTGACAGAGATCATGGCAGGAGCCAAGGTCCCCTCAATCCCTCCTGGCAATATCAGTACAACTCACACATGGTCACTCTTGGCATGCCTGGGATGACGAGGAGAATCATTTGGTAAATTTCTTCTTTTTTTTTTGAGACAGAACCTGGCTCTGTTGCCCTGGCTAGAGTGTCGTGGCGTCAGCCTAGCTCACAGCAACCTCAAACTCCTGGGCTCAAGTGATCCTCCTGCCTCAGCCTCCTGGGTAGCTGGGACTACAGGCATGCGCCACCGTGCCCAGCTAATTTTCTCTATTTTTAGTTGTTTGGCCAATTTCTTTCTATTTTTAGTAGAGACGGGGTCTTGCTCTTGCTCAGGCTGGTCTCGAACTCCTGAGCTCAAGCAATCCTCCCGCCTCGACCTCCCAGAATGCTAGGATTACAGGCGTGAGCCACTGCGCCTGGCCAGTAAATTTCTTCTAAATGTCAAGAGATTTCTAAGATCCTCATATGATAGTACCCGCACTTAACCATCCTCTGGGGCAGTGGGGGATAGCAGTTGAGAGTTAGGCTTCAGAGTGCAACAAACTTAGGCAGTGCTCCTTACTAGAGTTCTGCTAAGCATACTGCACAAGTTCAGTGCATATTAACTACATTATTATTACTGGTGGAGAAAATATAAAGTGACAGAAAGCCACTGTGGATTTAGTTAACTCATATTAATTTGTTTTAGAAATTTCAACAGCACTTACAAACACTTCAAAGATAGTAGCATAAATATCTGTGACTGGTGTTATTTATTCAGACCACAAACAATGCTTTGTGTGCAGATAGATTTGGACCTGTTACAATAATTAGTCCGCAGGCTCATTGGTCCATAGTGCTGGTACTTCTGATACAGTGGAAGAGCTTGGATTTTGTGATCTTACAGATCTGGGTTCAAATCCTTGCTCTGCCCCAAGCTAATTGTGCCATCTTTGACTAGTTGCTTAACTTCTCTGAATCTCAGTCTCCTCATCTCTAAAGTAAGTGATAATGCTCACCTCACAGGCCATTGGAGGATTGTGTAATATAATGTCCATAGGAACCTGGTATACGATGGGCATCAAATATTATAAATGTTCATTTGTGCTCTCACAGTTTGAGTGAAACAGAATAATCCATGTGAGTTTGAAAACAATTACTTAAGTTACCGAGGCCTGGACATTAAGACCCTTATACCTAGAGGGTCTTGTAGCCCCACGATCTGAAAGCAGGGAGAGAAATAAAGTATTCTTCACCTTCTATGGTGCTTTAATGCGCTTTTCACTTTTTTCCTCCAGTAGCATTTAAGGACAGTTTCAGCATCCACCTACTTTTAATTCTTTCTCCATTCCTTCTTCTCCCTTTCTTGAGCTTTCTCATTGCAGTAGCCTGAAAGCCTCGCATGAGTGGCCCTACTCACCCCGAAGTCGGGTGGGCCATGAGCACATCAGTGTGATGTTGCCACTGTCGCCGGTGATGGCCTGTGTGTTTCTAAGGGCTGCCTCGGGGCAGCTGGACTCCTGCGCAATCCCTTATTAAAGAGCGGCCCTGGCCGGGCGCGGTGGCTCACGCCTGTAATCCTAGCACTCTGGGAGGCCGAGGCGGGCGGATTGTTTGAGCTCAGGAGTTCGAGACGAGCCTGAGCAAGAGCGAGACCCCGTCTCTAATAAAAATACAAAGAAATTAATTGGACAACTAAAAATACATAGAAAAAAAAATTAGCCGGGCCTGGTGGCGCATGCCTGTAGTCCCAGCTACTCGGGAGGCTGAGGCAGAAGGATCACTTGAGCCCAGGAGTTTGAGGTTGCTGTGAGCTAGGCTGACGCCACGGCACTCTAGCCCGGGCAACAGAATGAGACTCTTTCCCAAAAAAAAAAAAAAAAAAAGAGCAGCCCTGACTGCAAGTGTGATGGTGGGGATGGAGCAGGCCCTCCATGAGTCGTTTTCCTGAGAGTCAAGGCAGGAATCATTCCTAGGCTCAGGACATCCCCGCCCCTTCTCCAAACGGAAGGCCGGAGGCCGCCACCGGGCAGCCTGTTTAGGCAGGCAGGGCAGAAGTGAGTGCAGACATCAGCTTGGCGAGGGCATGTTCTCCCAGAAATCGCGGTTTGTTCCTTGCCAGGGAGCTGGAACATCCTCTGTTCACTGCTCAGCTCCCTCGCACCTCGCTTCACTTGGCGGCTGTGTGCGAGGATCGCGTGCCGTCTGCGGCACTTCTCACGCTCGGGGAAGGACCCGGGCCAGACTTATTCCTCCCCCCTGGGAAATGCGCTCTGCCTGTTTCAGCAATGTCCCGTCCATTTCCTATTTCTAGGGCTGCACCATGTGCTTCATCTCTTCCTTTGGATATAAGTGGGAAGAAATTTTCATCCCTGGCCAAATCCTTTTTTCCCACATCCTCAGAAAGTGTGGGCAGAGAGCACACATGTTGCTACCCACAGGCCAGAGCAGGCAGCCACACTCACCTCTGTCGGAAGTGTCATGGAGCAAGGAGCCAAGTTCACCTACCGTGATCATGGGATATGGTGGCGTGAGATCACATGGCATGTCGGTATGGCGACTGTGGGACATTGGAATGGGAAACAAAGAACAGGAGAATCAGCATTTTAGACAAACAACCAATTGAAGAATGAAAGCTGCTACTATTTCCTGTTTATTTGTCTTTTTTAGGCTAATCATCTGTTTCTTATTCTCAAATTTAGAAGCTATTTGCTTAGTACAGTTTTAAATATCCATCAAATATATGCCTCCAGAACAACGTGGGGGTTCATTAGATTAATTAATTAATAGTGGTTACTAAACTCTTTGAAATCCTTTTATTAAAGGGGCCACCTAAGTCCAAAGGACTATTATAATCAGGCCTAATGAGGCCAGTGGTCTAAAGAGAGGGTTTTAAGCCATATATAAAGCTCCTTTAATGATCATACAGGACAAAGATAAGAAGCAGGTGAGTCTACGTGCTGGTGTTTAAAAGCTTCCTTCATGGTGGTAGAGCCACACAGAGGTCTACTCAGTTGAAACCAGGTGCTCAGTGATCTACTGACTAATGGATTCTCCAATTGCTTAAACCTAGGTTACAGGACAAAGGCCACTGCTTTGTAAAAGCTTGAAGTGCAGGTTGCTGCTGAGTCTAGAAGGCCTTCTCAAACAGAGAGGAGATTTTCTCTGTGATCTTGCAAAGCAGGTTAGTGCTGGCCCTCTTGTATCTTGTAAAATTTATAAGCTACCTTTCCAATGAAATCAAGAAAAGAGTTGATTGAGGAAGAAATAGAGCAAACCTCTTCTAAGTCATGTTCTCTGATACTCTTCTTGGTATTTTGTTGGTGTTTTGTTTTCTCTATGAAGATTGTACTACCAAGTGTGAGGCTGTGGGCAGTAGCTCATGCCTGTAATCCTAGCACTTTGGGAGGCTGAGATAGGAGGATTGCTTAAAGCCGGGAGTTCGAGATTAGCCTAAGTAAGAGCTAGACCCTATCTATGAAAAATAGAAAAATTCTCCAGACGTGTTGGCGTGCCTGTAGTCCCAGCTGCTCGGAAGGCTATGGCAGGAGGATCATTTGAGCCCAGGAGCTTGAGGTTTCAGTGAGCTATGTTGACACCACTGAACTCTAGCTGGGTGATAGAGCAAGATCCTGTCTTAAAAAATAAAAGAGTGGAAGAAGCTGGGTGCAATGGCTCATACCTGTAATCCCAGCACTTTGGGAGGCCAAGGAGGGAGGATCACTTGAGGCTAGAAGTTGGAGATAAGCCTGGGCAACATAGTGAGACCCTGTCTCTACAAAAAATAAAAAAAATTAGCCAGGCATGGTGGCCCATGCCTGTCATCGCAGCTACTTGGGAGGTTGAGGTGGGAGGATCCTTCGAGCCCAGGAATTTGAGGCTGCAGTGAGCTATGATGGTGCCACTGCACTCCAGTAGCCTGGGTGACAAAGCAAGACCCTGTCTCTAAAAAAAAAAAGGAATGGAACAAAATTGTGGTATCACCAAACTTAGAGATGGGATGGGAGTGTGTGGGGTAACATTTGTAAGATGTGCATGGCTCATGTCAATATGAAATTGGATTGAAATGAGTTGGGAGTTTATGCTTAGGAAAGAGAGTGATCCAGCCAACCATGTGCTGAATCTTTGAGAATACTATCTTGGAACTGGAAAATAGATGTTGAATTGGAAGTAGTTCTAAACTTTTTAAAAAATCAAAGCAACTTTCCTTTAAGAAACTTTCAAGTTTTAAAATTAACCAATTTCTATTTCAGATCAGAACATGTCCTGTATGATAAGATTCCCTACCATGCTATCCTCTGTCGTGTTTTGGGGACTTATTGCCCTCATTGGTAAGTCTCTGTTTGACATTTGGCATTGTCCACAGGGTGTACATGCAAACATTCAGCACAGTCCTGAATCAGAAAGAACAATGATTGCATGTAATGGAAGAGTGGGCTCTCCTGACCAGGTTGGCCATTAATCAACTGTTATTTCTATAATTAAGAGTGTATTCTGCTTACCAAGAAGGTGAAGGCACTATCAGTGGGAATTTTAAATAATCAAATATTTATTGATCTGCTTACTTCCTGTCTGACAATGCACCTATTATGCCTGATATATTTTTTTGAGACAGAGTCTTACTCTGTTACCTGGGCTAGAGTGCCGTGGTGTCAGCCTAGCTCACAGCAACCTCAAACTCTTGGGCTCAAGTGATCCTCCTGCCTCAGCCTCCTGAGTAGCTGGGACTACAGGTGCCCACCACCACACCTGGCTAATTTTTTCTATTTTTGTCGACACGGGGTCTCGCTCTTGCTCAGGCTGGTCTGCTTGATATCTTCTCAAGAGGCATATGGAACAGTGCCTTGGAAGGCAAACACATGAAGAGAAAATTTTCACTGCTAGGCAGCAGATAAGAGTTAAATGATTCTAGATAGAAAGAAAAAAAACAACACTAGTCTGGGAGGAGTTTAGGAGGAAGAGCTCACATCTAGCTAGGATGTTCAGACCTGAGAGGCTTTTTGGGGGGACATGAAAGTTGGGAATTCTTGGTATTTAATAAGAAAAGGGAAGAGCCTGCTGGGTGGGAGTAATGACTTCGGTAAAGGTGCAGAAGCAGAAATGCATGAAAAGTGTTTGGGGTACAGTAAGCGGGTCAGTGGGACAGAACAGAAGGGGATTTCTGAGGGGAAGGCTGGGAAGGTAGGCTGGTGAGATGGTAAGGGACCTTGAATAAGAAAACATCAAAACTTTGACCTAAGAAAAATGAAGAGCCACTGTAAGCAATGTTAAGTCTTTACTCATAATGACTGAGAAGAAAGTATTTCTAAAATGTTTAATCCTAAATTTAGAAAAGTGAGACTACTTAAAAATAATTTCCAGTTACTTATGGTCAAAAGAAAGGCAACAAAGTTTTAAATTTTTACTCCTTTTTAAATTGCCAGGTGGGAGCAGAATTATATATCCAGTAGATTAATTATGAGCTACACTATACTAGCTGTGCATGAATGAAAGGTGACTCTAATTTTAAAAGGGCCTGTGTGTTTATGATGTCAGCACAAGTAGTGTGGGGTTCATGGTCATATTCCACTTCCCTTAAAGCAGTGGTTCTCAAACTTTATGCATAAGGATCAACTGGGAATGCTGGTTAAAGTGCAGATTCTTAGGCCTTATACCTAAAGATCCTGGTTCTGTAGATCTGGTATGAGGAGCCCAGTAATAAGCATTTGTAATAAGCATCCCAGGTCACTATGATGCCTGTGGTTGTGGGCCACACAGCCAGCATAGAAAAGGCTGCCTCCCCAGTAAAAGGATATTGAATCTGTCAATATATGGATACTTGACCCAGATAATTTAGATAATCCCTTTCTTTCTTTTTCTTTCATCCATCCACTTATCCATTCATCCATCAATAAATATTTATTTTCCACTTTGTGCTAGGCATTTTTCTAGTTGCTAAAGGAGGACATGGCAGAGAAAAACATTGAGTCTCTGCCCTTACGGAGTTTATCTTCTAGTCAAAGGAACAGGCAGGAGGGGAGAGAAAGAAAGAAAGAGAGAGAAAAAAGGAAGAGAGAGGGAAAGAGAGAGAGAAAGAAAGGAAGGAGGGAAAGAAGGAAGAAAGAAAGGAAGGACAGAAGGAAGGAAGGAAGGAAGGAAAGGAGGGAGGGAAAAAAGGATGGTCAGGTAGCGGTATAAATAATATAAGGTAATGGGGGACAAGGAATGAGGTATGAGTGTGGCATCTTTTTAATATAGGTGGACAAGAAAGGCTCTCTGATAAGATGACCTAAACTTTTTTATTATAAAAATGTTTCAAACATATAAAAGGAAGAATTGTATAATAAACTCTTATTTATTCATAAACAGCTTCTGCAGTTTTCAACATTTTGCCTTTCCATTTTATCTATCCCTCACCCCCACCTTGTTTTGGGGTGTGTGTGTGTATGTGTGCATGTGTTTGACTGGAGTATTTTAAAGCAAATCTAAAACATAAAAACATCTCTCTTGTAAAATTTTTTGTTCTATCTCTAACATATAAGGATAAGCTCTGGCACAAAAAAATATTCCTGGCTCATCTCAAATATTTCCCGCCTCAGACCAGAAATCAGCCAGAAATTATCCTGAGGATTTCTGGTTCCTCTTAGCAGGAAATGGTATTTAGGGACCACAGTTTGGGTGCTAGGGGTGCTCCATTGCTATGGAGTTGTCATTCCTTTCAGGTCTTTGCAGTGGAGAGAACTAGAAAATACATATTTTTTAAAAGAAAAATAATTACGTGTTCATACAGACATTTCATATTCATATTTAAGAATACAAGGGTTTTACATTAGTTTTGTATTTGTTCCTCTGCTCTCTTACACTAAATCTGGTTCTAGTGACATTAGCATTATTACTTGTTTATATAATAGTGTCAAAATAATTATGACAGTATTACCAGCCAACAATGAGACTGTGAATATAGTTTAAGATTTTCTTGTGATTCTTTATGTTCATGGGATGTATTCCATTAGTGGTATATACTTACAGTGACATATTTTAAAGTCACTTGAGATAATTCTTCTCTATATGTTAATTAAGCCTTCAACTTGATGTACAGTTAGGTGTATTGGTTTTTCTTTTTCTTACAATTCCTTTTTTTTTCCTATCTGATTTAACTTTTATTTTTTTTCTTTTATTTCAGCATATTATGGGGGTACAGATGTTTAGGTTATGTATGTTGCCCTTGGTCCCCCTCCCCCAAGTCCAAGTTGATTTAACTTTTAAAGGGATAGGAACATTTACACGGCTCCAAAATAAAAACTATGAAAAAGGTAATTTAATCTAACCTCTATTCCCTGTTCCCTTACCTTTCTCCTATCCCCTCCCATAACTAACAATTTTTATTTGTTTTTAGATCATCCTGTATTATTTCTTTTGAAAATATGAGCAACTTACACACATACACAATTGTATTTTCTCCCCTTTCTTACACAAAGAATATGATTCCATAAATACTATTCTGTACCTAGAGACAATTTTACAGGAATATACACAGAGCTTCCTCTTTCCTTTTTACAGTTGCATAGTACTCCACTGTGTGGATGTGACTTAGTTTATTCCATCAGTCTCTGCATTGATGACATTTGTGTTGTTTCCAGGCCATTGCTGTTATAAATAGTGCTGAAATGAACAGCCTATTCCAAAACTGCCCTCCACAGCAATGTATGAGACCGCCTATTTCCTCAGAGCCTCTCCCAGCATGTATTGCCAAACTCTTGGATTCCCGCCAATTGAAGAGTTGGCAAATGCTGTTTTAGTAATGTTTTAATATGGCTTTTTCTTCTTTTGAGTGCGGTTGAACATCTTTTTATACATTTAAGGACCATTTTGTTTTTTTGTCTCTGAACTGTCTATTTATATCTTTTGCTGATAAGGTGATATTTGAACAGAGACCTGAAGGCAGTGAGGTGGTAAATCACATAGGTACCTGGAGAAATAGCATTCTAGGCAAAAGGAACCACAAATACAAAGGCCTTGAGGCAGAAACCTTCCTGGAGTGTGGAAGGATAAGCACAGAGAAGAACATGGCTGGAGGAGAGTGAGCAAATGGAAAAAGTTGGAAAGGAGCACAGAGCCGGATCAGGTAGAGCTTGGAGGCCACAGGATGGACTTGGCCGTCCTTCTAAATGGGGAGAAAGCCACTGGAGGGCTAAGAGAGAAGATGCGTATGACCCCATGCATGTTCCCGCAGAATCACTCTGGCTGCTGGGTGGAAAATAGACTGCCCGAGTGGACAGAGAGGTCAGATAGAGGCTGGGACAAGAATCCACATCAGCGGTGACGCTGGTTTGGACCATGGTAGTAATGCAGGGGTGGTCAGATTCTGTTTTTTTGCATCAAACATTTTTTTTTTTTTTTTTTGAGGCAGAGTCTCACTGTGTTGCCCGGGCTAGAGTGCCGTGGCGTCAGCCTAGCTCACAGCAACCTCAAACTCCTGGGCTCAAGCGATCCCCCTGCCTCAGCCTCCCAAGTAGCTGGGACTACAGGCATGCGCCACCATGCCCGGCTAATTTTTTCTATATATTTTTAGTTGTTCGATTAATTTCTTTCTATTTTTAGTAGAGACGGGGTCTCGCTCTTGCTCAGGCTGGTTTCGAACTCCTGAGCTCAAACAATCCACCTGCCTCGGCCTCCCAGAGAGCTAGGATTACAGGCGTGAGCCACCGCGCCCGGCCTGCATCAAACATTTTAACGAAGATACTTTCTTATAACAAATACTCGTAGTCTTAAGGTACAAGTCAACAACCCTTGGAACTATGGGAGCAAACTTTTTAACATTACAGAAAATAATGTATCTCCTTTAGAAAAAGCTCTGTATCTACTTTAATAAATAGACTTTGACAGAAACTCACTTTATAATGATGGAACAAAAGATAAGAATTAGATTGGATTTAAATTCTTTTGTTAAATTGAATTTTTATTCCTAATTTTATTAGACTTAGCAACTCAGCTTCACAATAACATGATATAACATAAGAACATATTTAACTTGTTATGGAACCCTTCTTTCTTATCTTTGTAAACAAAGGCAAATTGTTAATCTGGATGTTTACATCCCCAGAAGTGTTTTAAAATTTCTCTAAAGGTTCCTGCTTAAAAATCTTGTGGCCATTTTAATTCTGATCAAGTCAGCACAGCCAGCCGCGGTGGCTCACGCCTATAATCCTAGCATTCTACCAGGCCGAGGCAGGAGGGTCACTTGAAGTCAGGAGTTTGAGCAAGAGCAAGACTCCATCTACATAAAAAATAGAAAAATTGGGGCCAGGCGTGGTGGCTCACGCCTGTAATCCTAGCTCTCTGGGAGGCCGAGGCAGGCGGATTGTTTGAGCTCAGGAGTTCGAGACCAGCCTGAGCAAGAGCGAGACCCCGCCTCTACTAAAATTAGAAAGAAATTAATCAGCCAACTAAAAATATATACAAAAAATTAGCCGGGCATGGTGGCACATGCCTGTAGTCCCAGCTACTCGGGAGGCTGAGGCAGTAGGATTGCTTGAGCCCAGGAGTTTGAGGTTGCTGTGAGCTAGGCTGACGCTACGGCACTGTAGCCCAGGCAAGAGAGTGAGACTCTGTCTAAAAAAAAAAAAAAAGGAATTAAGTGCGGTATCCAGCCTGAGTAAGAGCAAGACCCTGTCTCTACTATAAATAGAAAGAAATTGGCCAAACAACTAAAAATAGAAAAAAATTAGCTGGGCACAGTGGCGCGTGCCTGTAGTCCCAGCTACCTGGGAGGCTGAGGCAGGAGGATCGCTTGAGCCCAGGAGTTTGAGGTTGCTGTGAGCTAGGCTGACGCTACGGCACTGTAGCCCAGGCAAGAGAGTGAGACTCTGTCTAAAAAAAAAAAAAAAGGAATTAAGTGCGGTATCCAGCCTGAGTAAGAGCAAGACCCTGTCTCTACTATAAATAGAAAGAAATTGGCCAAACAACTAAAAATAGAAAAAAATTAGCTGGGCACAGTGGCGCGTGCCTGTAGTCCCAGCTACCTGGGAGGCTGAGGCAGGAGGATCGCTTGAGCCCAGGAGTGTGAGGTTGCTGTGAGCTAGGCTGACGCTACGGCACTGTAGCCCAGGCAAGAGAGTGAGACTCTGTCTAAAAAAAAAAAAAAAGGAATTAAGTGCGGTATTAACACAAAACACAAAAGAAAAAGTTGGAGTAGAGTGGGAAGGGGGAACTTCTGTTTTGTCTGGTGAGCCAATAATGGCAACAAGGGCTTTGGGGAGGACCAATCTGTGGCCCTTGCCTTTGGTTTAGTGATGTTTCTTACAGCAACTCACTCAAGCAGTATTTTCTCCAAGGCTTCATGCGAATTATCATTCTGCCTCCCAGGCACCTCCAGGGGCTTGTACCCTTTCACTCACTCAACGAGCCCTCACCTGCCTCCTCGCCTGTACCGCGGCTGCTACGGGGACATCATGACCATGGAAACCTTGGGGACCACCTGTGATATAAACAGTTTGATTAACTGCGGTAAGTGAATAGCAAAGCGAATGTCTGGCTTTCCCTGGTCATCATTTTAAGATTCTTTCTTGGGAAGTAACCTAATTTTGAAAAGGCATAATCATCATGATGATGATATTATCAAAATTAAAAATTAGAAAAAACCAGAATCCTGACCAACCTAACAACTCACTTCTTTTCATTTCTTCCCTCATTCATTCCGAACTTTGTCCAGATATGTTTATTTCTACATATTGAAACTACTGCTTAAATAAAATATTAGATTCAGACTTTGATTTGTGTTGGTTGTTGAGTTTACTTCACGTTACAGCATGAACACCTTAAGCAAGCCCCCTTTGTAATCCTGTTCCAAAGTCGTCTTTGCGATGTCATCCTGGTGTTAGAGTGTCAAAGCTGGAAGCAACCGCAAGGTCACATCTCACCCCACCCTCACGATTTACAAATCAGAGCCCCAAGGCTCAGCAGGGAGGAGACACTTCCAGTGGCCCAGAGCCAGGTATCGGCAGAGCCAGGCTAAAACTTGGATTGACAGACTCCTAGTCCAAGAGACTTCCCAATGTGCCAGTGTGGCAGAAATTAGGAAAAACTAGTGGAGGTGGTAGCTGTTTGGGTTATGGACCTTCCTGGGTTTCTGCAGTCAGAGAGCAAAAGGATGTCCTAGAATGGTTGTCCCAAGCCGTGGGCAGCAGTCAGGGGCTGTGGCTTAATTTAGCAAACTTTGAAAAAGGGTTCTCTTCTGGAGTAGAAAAAAATACTGCTTTTGATTTCTTTTTTCCTTTTGATTAGGGATCCGTGGTTCTGAAACGTTTGCTGAGATGGATTTGAGGGCCATGAAGCCTTACCCGACTCTGATCAAAGAAGTGGGACAGAGGCATTGCGTAGATCCTGCCGTCATTGCGGCCATCATCTCCAGGGAAAGCCATGGCGGAAGCGTCCTGAGAGATGGCTGGGACCGCGGGGGACTTAAATTTGGCTTGATGCAGGTATTTAGCTAGAAACTTTCCATCAGCCCCACTTCACCCTTCCTTGCAGAAGCTTACCCCAAGCTGGAAATCCATCTATGGTGCTTCCATGCCCCAAACACCCTGGATCTGGCTGTAGGTGCTACAGCATAATTTGTTCTGGGATTTCTGTACCACATTATTGGGATTTCATTCAAGGTTTATCAGTTATCAGATATCTTCAAAAAAGTATTTCATGATTTAGTAATTATTAATACAATTCTATGATAAATAATATGCAATGTACTTAAATTGAGAAAATCTTATAAAGGGCACTATTATTACAGGTGTCCTTCTGGGGTTCATGAAGTAGTGAATTTCATCCTTATGGATCAAAACACTGTATAATTGAGCCCTTCTTAAACCAACATGTTCCTTTGAGTAAATTGGAGGAAGGGGATCCAAGTATCTGGATATTTGCTTCTAGGCTTTATTTTAAACTATCTGTAGAAGCACACACGTCTAGCCTTCCCAGTTAGAAACACATTTTGACCTGAATTATCTGGATAGATACTTTTTACTACAAATGTCTATACTTTGGGAGCTAATGATTTGTTTTGAAACCACTTTATTGACTGGTTGATTGATTATATATTAGAATGCTTAGCTAAAACTATGCCATGTCCACTTCTCCTAAACCGTACTTTGTTTCCCTGCCTTTTTTCTCTATGACAGAAAGAACAGAATTGACTCTTTAGGGATAAAGAAAGAGTGCTGAAGCCAGTGTAGGTGAACTTGACCACAAGGAAGAGAAATTAGGAGCAGCAGAAAAATGTGTTGCCTCATCCAGATGTTGACATTATTATCTGAATTTTCTAGCTCGATAAACAAATTTACCACCCTGTCGGTACCTGGGACAGCAAGGAACACCTTTTGCAGGCTGTTGGGGTTCTTACAGACAGAATTAAGGCAATCCAGAAAAAATTCTCCACATGGAATGTGACTCAGCACCTCAAAGATAGGCCATATTTTGAGTGCTTTGTTTGAATGAGCAGTGAATGAGACCACTGGCAGCCAGATGTGCCCTGGGCCTCCTTGGGAACATTCCCATTGGGTCAGCAGTGGGCCCAGGAGGAGCTGTCTAGAAGCTGCATTAGCATTCTTTGAACCACTGAGTTACTTTGAGTGGTCTTCCTTCCTCAACTTCCATTTCCCCTCTGCAAGATGCTGGGGTTCTTATTGCATCTCTCATCGCTTATTGAGCCATTGAATAATTCCTTGAGAGTTAATGCAATAACTTAAAAGAATATGTTTGCCTTCCTCTCATAGGTTTTTTTCCTATTATAAAAAACTGTCAACAACTTTCCAAATTGTTTGAACACACTTTTACTCTGTGAGCATTCTCAGGGCTTCAGGTGTTATGATATGTCCAAGTAGAGATCTCTACTTAGCTGACCACAGGCCCCCTCAAATTCAGCATCTCCCAGATGGAATTAACTCACTAGCCTCCCACTGTAAATTTGTTCTTTCTTCTGCATTTTCTTTAGAGGCACCATAATATAACTAGTCATTCCAGTGAGAAAACCAGATTGTTTTCTTAGACCCTCTGGTTCCTTCTCTTTATAACCAATAGTACAAATTGCTATTAAGTTTACTTCCTATAGATCCATGGTTTGTCTTCCACACTTTAATGGCCTTAATACACAGAACAAACAGTCTCAATTCTCTATTTCAAGGTCCTTGAAGACAGGGATCAAGACCAGAGTCTTTTTCTCTTGACCTCCCAGCAGAGCACAATTATGTTAAACACCTAAATAACTACTGAAGATAAAATTCTAGAGTAAAATAGCATGTGCACGTACACACATGCACACACATGTGTACGCTACATGCTACAAAGAAATGAATGTGTCTTGGGTACCCTGCAGTCAGTATGGCACCTCTCCTGACACACAGTAGATGCTTAAAAATATTCATTGAATGGAAGAGTAAATTATTGAATGAGAGAATAATATGAGTATTCTCAGACTGAAGATTTGCTGGGGATCTAGTTCTGCCAGGCCTGGACTACATAAAAAGCAAATCTGACTCTAGCAACAAGAAAAAAAAAAAGACTTTTAAAAAAAAGAGAGAAAGTAAGGAATCTGGAATTCCCCTAGTCATTCTTGGGGTAGCATATCCTTTCAGGAAGGGAGGAAGAAGAAGGAGGGTTTGGGACTACCTGCTTTGGAAGATTTGCCTGCAGGGCTGACATCCCGAGAATGCTCATATCTTATTTTTACTGAAAGTTAATATTTGAGCCTAAACTGCTGTGTTTCATTTCAGGTGGTCTCTCAGCTTTTAGATCAGGAATTGAAGCCATTGTCACCCCAGCGGACGTAGACGATGACTACGTCAATGATGTTCTTGCCCGAGCTTGATTCTATAGAAGACAGGGCTACTAGGCAAAGCTCTGTGGGTGGGTCAGGTTGGCAGGGTGCTCAAATGGCTCTCTTTGAGAGTTTGATATGGATGTATTGTACCCAATGCTGGCAAAAACATGGTTGAAATTATGAAAGAAAATTCATTTCCCAGTTCACAGTATGGTTCCCATGAAACGTACATAGACATACATATAATAGCTTTGTAGTAAATATGAATACGGCAGCAGGCAGCATCTACATATTCCAGTGAGGCCTCATTTTAGCCCATGATTTCAATGCCCACCTGCTCCCTGTCTACCAGAATTGCTAACAAGAAGTTAAGTGAGCCTGATCTGAGCCTTTGTCCTTTCCCCAGTATCTGCCCAAACCACTAGGGCTTTGCTTATGAGAAGATCCTGACTCATAAACCAGTAGACCCAGGGATGATGGAGTAGGCAGGAATGGAATTCTAGCTCCTTAGGTAGCTGAGAGCCAGCCGAGGTGAAGCTGATCTTCAAGTGATGCACATTAAATCCTTCAAACCCACAGCAACCTCCTGTGTCTTCTTTTGTTCGTGAAGATCCAGGGACTGGCTTCTTTTCTTTGTAGTTGCTTCCACACACGCTCTTTCAGGGGGTCTGCTCCCCACAAAACACGAGTGAAGATAAGCATATTGGACCCAAATTAATCATGGTTCTTTGGTTACAAGCAAAAGTAACCACTTCTGGAAATTTTAAGCAATAAAAGGAAATTACTGGAAGGTTATTAGAAGGTTCACAGAATCAACTGAGAAGGTCAAGGAGACGAAGAGAAAGCAGGCACCTCTGGGGTCTGGGTAGCAGGAATCAGTTAACCATACTTTATAGCAACCTCAGTAAGTGAAGAAATGAACACAATCACTAGTGCCCTCATAAATGAACTGCAAACACCTTTTCCCCATCCCTTCGTCATTCGGCTTCACTTTCATGGTGCCAGGAGGGAGACTCTGATCTGCTTATCTTGGGTCATATACGTGCTGACCTGTTGGCAACTTTGGTTCCTTGGTCTTGCACAGACTACCCACGATGGAGAAGAGATAGTTCTCTAGAAGGAAACCATGTGCTGTTTGTGGCCTTTACTTCCATAGTCAGGAGAGGATCCACATAATAATGTGTAAAGCTGACAAAGTCCCTGATGACAGGGCCCCTGCTGGGTCTTTAGCTCCCTTTGGGGATGTTTAATGACTGTTTCTGCCCATCACTTCTCTTTCTGAGATGGAATCAAAGTCAGACTCACCTACCTCTGAGCTCCCTTGGAGAAAGCCAAGTAAACCCTTCTGTGCCCAGTGATCTCTCGGCTTGGCCTGAAGGTTTGACCCAGGCAGAACCAGGAATCCTTGTTTCCAGGGGCGGAGGCAATGGTGAGTGCACCCCTGCAGCACACAGGCCAGCATCTTTCATGACTGGTTGAGGCCCATGCCGTACCAGGTGTTAAGTATTTTGATTATCATTCCTGCATGTTGGCCATCCAGGAATTTCTTCAGATGTCCAGTTTGCTTAAGAAGGATTTCTTTTGGGTCCCCCTACAACAAACATGTATGAATATTTCATCTAATCACTAGCCACTTCAATGTCACTACCACAACAATAAAGTACATCTGGATGAGATTATTTCCAAGCAATTTGAAAAACAAGAAATAGAACACTCCTTTATTCCCTGATTCTATTCTGCCAGTGTTCCCTTTATGGCTGGGATGCCAAGAGATGCTCTATGGGGAACCCCATACTGAAGGTGTCTTAGTTTGGTTCCCTCCAAAGCAGACCCCGAGGCAAGAGTTCAAGTGCTGTTAGTTTATCCAGAAGGTTCAGGGGACACTGGTATGAAGTGGCTCTGTGATAAAGACGAGGGAAGACAGCCAAAAAATGTGTCCTCAAGTCAGCTACCACAGTGGGCACTAAAGATCAACGTTGCGGAAAAACTGCTAGGGACGGTGCAAAAGACACACCTCAGAATTATTCTGCTCAAGGACAAGGAGATGAACTATTTATACATCAATTTCTCAGAGCTATTGGTTGAGGGATCTCCCTGCAGGGGTTGGGGAGAAAGTATTAATTCTTTGCTACTCTTGTCTGCCTTGCAAGTAGGCGGAACACTTTTCTGCATTTCCAAAGAAGAGGGGCTGTAGGCTCAGAGATCCACATACTAGCAGTTGGAAATCAACTAGGAATTCTAAAAAGTCCAGAGATATGGAGGGTACGACAGCATCTGCTTCACCAGGGCTAGGTACCCCTGGAAGGTTGGGATACCCCTCTAACATTGCTTGTTTTCATCCATGACTTAACGACCTGGTAAGAACAATCTGGAAATAACACACAGCCTTCACTATGCTTCACGATTTCCATGCCAAGCTTCTCCACAGTCTGTTAGAATTACTAATTAGATACAATAGGACTGGCCCAGTCTTCATCCTCTTCCCAATGTCAAAGATATTACATGCAAATGTGGCACCATTTAATATTCTTGTATCTTCAGTCTTCATCCTATTGTGTAAAATATCACTTCTTTTAGTTTTCCAAAAACTGGGTTTTACTGGAGGATGAAGATTGTCTTATAGTTTTCAAAGCAAAAAAAAAAAAAAAAAATCTAAAAATATTTCCCAGACTGGACTGGGATTATATTCTTATACTTTCTTTTTCTTAGTCATCAATGCCTCACCTGCTAAGGGGACTGTGATATAATAAGAAATATGTGTGTGGTCTCTGCAGCACTGTGCATAGGAAGCAAGGGAAGGAAGTCTCAGCTTCTACACCTGTGATCTCTGACGGTGCTCCCCGCACGGATGTGTAAGTCCTGTGAGGTGCTGGTGCCTCCTGCTTTGCAGTACTAGAGAGACAATCCCCAGTCAGAGTACAGCGTCCTTCCTCATGAAACAATCATGTAAAAGAGACGCAACCACTTCACATAGAGGCTGTTTAAATGTACCAATTCTACAAAATTTCACCTTAATTGTGTCAACTCCTACATTCTTAACTGTAGCCTCCATTAGGACCTCAACAGGTTTTGGTTTTACAACACTAGGTAGGGGAAGTGTTCCCCAGTCAGACATAATGTCCACTCCCATAAAACTTTCAAGTAAAGGAGATACAACTTCTTTACCTAAAGGCTGTTTACCTAAATTCCAACTTTCATGAGCCTATCAACCCTTACATTTTAATATTCTCTCAATCTAACTGTAGCCTGCCTCAGGGCTTACCAGTGGGCTTGGGTATCACAAAGCATCGGGCTGCCATACCAAGGAGCCCCGGGAACTTCTCTTCCCCCCCCCTGACATTTTATCCACTCATGTGCATAAGGCTTTATGAGACTCTGACCCTTTTGTCAATCTTCATCTTGATTAATCTGCCTAACCACTGTCCCAGTGACTGTTGGTCAGATTTCTCATTGTAAACTTTGCCTTCTGACTTTTCAAATTTCTCCCAACTGGAGTGAACAGAATGGACTTGTTCGGAGCCCTTTCATGTTGAGGGACCAGCAGGGGGTCCCTTTGGTGTGTTCAGCCTTTGGTAGTGCTGTATTAAAAACTTTGTTGTAGTCCATCGATGTCTGTTTTATTTATCCCATTTCTTTTTTTTTTTTTTTGAGACAGAGTCTCACTGTGTTGCCCGGGCTAGAGTGCCATGGTGTCAGCCTAGCTCACAGCAACCTCAAACTCCTGGGCTCAAGCGATCCCCCTGCCTCAGCCTCCCGAGTAGCTGGGACTACAGGCATGTGCCACCATGCCCGGCTAATTTTTTCTATATATTTTTAGTTGTCCGATTAATTTCTTTCTATTTTTAGTAGGGACGGGGTCTTGCTCTTGCTTAGGCTGGTTTCGAACTCCTGAGCTCAAACAATCCGCCCGCCTCGGTCTCCCAGAGTGCTAGGATTACAGGCGTGAGCCACCGCGCCCGGCCTATCCCATTTCTTCTTTTTTTTTTTTTTATTTCAGCATATTATGGGGGTACAGATATTTAGGTTTCTTAATAACCATCCAAAGATTTCTACCCTACTGGGACAAGACCCGTGACTGTCCTCTTTCTTTTTCTTTTTTCTCTCCTGTCAATATGTGCTTCATTTACCTTATTTCTTACTAGCTGTTTAAAATGGTAAGACAAGTCCTTTGATTCTGCCCTCTGCCTTTCCCCTTTCTCTTCTTCATTAACCTAATATTTTTATCAGCAACCGGAAGACCCATGAGGGGAAGCTAAGTCAGCAAATCTGATAAGGTTTCCTGAACTGTATTTTGGGTTTTGTGGCAGTTAATGTTATATGGAGATCCACATTTAAGATGTGCTCTCAACCACAGCATTTACCACGACCTGGGTAATGGGCGTACCAGTGGGTGAATATCCCAGTCATCATAAAGCCAGTCTCACCTGGCTTGCATATGAAGCATGTCAGCCACTTCATCAGGGGTGTCCCACTTGGTATTTAGAGGGGGGAGGGACAGGGCCTTTTTCTGGATAAACAGACCTTACAGTGGCTTTTATCCAGTCCACCAGGCTGGCTGTTCCCTTGGAAATAACTTCTTATGTGTGTGGATCACGTGCGGCCATCACATTCAGCTATGTTTGTCCCATAGTGAGCTGTGGGTCTTGCACCAGCCCAAGCATGCTCTTCCACTCTGCAGCATTTAAAACCAAAGACACTGCCCCTGGAATAATTACTCTCCCAATCCCCTTTAGTAAAGGTTCTACAGGAAGCTAATAATACTGATTTACAAAATAAAACAAGTCCTTTTGTGTCCATGTTCATGAGAGACATTGGATTATAAATTTCCCTTCCTAAAATACCCTTGTTAGGTTTTGGTAATGAGGATTATGCTCACAACATTTAAGGATTTGGAAAGTGTTTTCTCTTTCCCTGTTACCTGAAAGAGATTATATGGAGCCAGTACTATTTCTTTAAACATTTGGTAGAATTCACTAGTGAAACCACTTGGACCTGAAGTTTAATTTTGATTTTTTTCTGGACTTCTCTAGTTTCCATTTTTTCCCCCC